GGATTGACTCGTGAGATATAGAAAGTTCGGCGGCTATCTCTCTCAGAGTTGAATGGGGATTTTCAGTCACAATTTCCTTCACTTTTGCGATGTTAACTACAGTTGCAGACCAGAGCGAGGCAAATCTTCCATCACATCTCGACCGCTTTTGAACGCTTTGAACCACTCATAAGCACGAGTTTTTGATAAAGTCGATTCACCGTAAGTTTTCTGTAACATTTTTAGTGACTCCGAACACAAAATTCCATTGGCGATGCAAAGTGTAAGAAAAACTCTTTGATCGATATTTGTGTCCATTATGAAATTCACAATATACATTATATATAATATTTCTGAAACCAGCGCTGTATTTAGTATAAATAACAGATGCAACTCAAACTCCGCGCCAAAATGGAAAACAGTTGTGCCAATCTAACAACTACATAAAAACAAAAATTCTAATTTGGAACCATAAACAAATCATCCATTCCCGATACTTTTTTGAGTGAATGTAGGTATATGCGCATCACAAAGTACCTATTTATTTAGTTCTGAAAATAAAAATAGAATAAGATCATTATAAATGAAAATACCCGCCTATTGGGTTTTTTCCCACATAAAAACCGGGTTTTTTCCCAAATGGGAAAAAACCTGGGTTTTTTCCCAGTGCCCATCTCTATGCCTACTGTACATATTTCTTACATACCTCTAAGGCCTGAGTGCTACCTAACCTACTTCTAATAAGCAGTTAAAGTGATGGTTTACTTACTAAATATTTTAATTATCTTCCAGTGCCTCACCCAAATCAACAAGGAGTCGGAATCAGTGAAGTTGAAGCGTTGTGCATCCTCCGACCAGGGAGACAATTTGCTGGCAGCTTACGGTGACAAGAGCGACTCTGTACAGCGCCCTCTAGGTTTTGTTCCCACCGTTGTTATCAATGAGGTACGTTATTTAAAAATTAAATGAAATACGTCCATATTATTAGTCAAACTATACATGTACACAAAACACCGCTAATTAGTTAGCAGCGCTACACATCGACACTACTATCTTTTACACAGTGAACATGTGTGGGTAATTTCATATTACTGTGTATAAAAATATTCGTCCACCACGTTCACATTGGTATTTTCATTCTTGTGTCGGTATATGTATTTTTATAATTTAATTCACGGGTAAGGTTAAAACTATTTACAATCATTGATATGACCCGACACGTTTTGACGGGTATTAACGTAGTGTTCGTGGTCGACTGGTTAATGAGCACGCTTTTATTGTCTTTCAATGATCAATGATGTGAGTTCTATTCCAGCTGAAAGAATCTTTTTTTATTTTACTATGTAGTTTTTCTTATTTTTTTTTTTGTTTTTTGAAATATTAGATCAGGCTATAAAAGAAGCAGATAAGTCGGTAAATAAAACAATACTATCTTTTATTACAATTAATTTATTTATTATACAGATAAGTGGTTTTATATTCAATATTTATAATAATTAATTATCATACCACAGTTATGTTCTTAAAGTTCTTTAAATAATAATTAATCAATATGCCAATAAACCTTATAGTCGAATTGGGAAATATCATGCGATAAAGTATATACTTTTAAAATTAACATAAGAAGATTTAGAAAAATAGGATAGAAAAAAAAGAAAAGATTAAAACATTGTTTCAAATTTTTAATATTTGATTTATGAATTCTTGATACAACTTGTGAATGCTGGTATCGATCCGGCGGCACTTTACTGGAGGTGATAACCATTACGCCAAACGCGCTGTGAATGAGATTATCGAAATATTGTATACCATTCAGTAACATAAAAATACGATGAGAAAACACTATATTTATATGGGTATTGTATAGCTCGATTGCTCATTATTTGATTTCGATTTATTCAAAGTTTGTTATAAGTTATTTTTATCTTTACCCTCGTTTTTATTTAAACTTATTTACTAAATAATTACGTATACCGACACAAAAATGATATTTAAATACCAAGATGTGTGTGATAGACGAATGTTTCTATACATATCTATTAATATGAAATTACCCACACATGTATATTGTGTAGTCATACTAGTGTCGATGTGTAGCGCTGCGAACTAATTAAAGGTGTTTTGTGTACATTTTTATGGAATAAGCCGAAACACGAGCAGACGGATCACCTGATGGTAAGCAATCGACGTCGCCCATGAACACTTGAAAGCCTTGATAAAACAGAGGCGATGTTACAAATGCGTTGCCGGCCTTTTGGAAATTGGGAATTTTAGATTTGTGGGGGATTCGGGGATTGGGGAGACTGGGGAGGATGGAGTGGGGTAATTAGGCCTGTGGTAACCTCACTCACACGACGAAACACAACGCAAACGCTGTTCCACGTCGGTTTTCTGCTCGGACGTGGTATCGCTCCAATCGAACCGGCCCATTAGTGCAGAAGCATGGCTTTCCCACACTTAAATTGTAGTACATTACTTAATACATAAGTATATTAATAATCATTATAATTGTTTGTTATATTTGTTGCAGAGATTCGACCAAACAGTACAAGATGAAGCCATTGCCGACTTAAAATCGGTCGTGTGTCGCGTTGCACCGAACAAACCTTCCATCTGTTAAACAAAAACAAATTCTACGCACCAATAAATAAATGAAACTCACTAAACAATCTCTACAAATTAATATCAAGTGAACAGCTATCTTTAAATAAAAAAAAAATAAGTCGCCATTTTCTCGACCATAGCGTCAGTATAAAAAAAAAGTAATGGCGGCAATTTTGACGTACAAAAAGTATCTTTAACAAAATGTTTTCAAAAATATTAAATTGATAATTATATTATTTGACTGTCTGTCTGCTAGCTTTATCTGAATTTTGGTATTAGCAATGAATTTAAATCAGAATACGAAAATTTTAATGTTTTCGTATTTATAAAAAAATATTGCATCGAGGCTTCGGTATAGTTCGTCAATATTATTTTCGTAGTAACTTATTGATTAAAACAGCATAATTGTATTAGTTAATAACTAACACAGTATAAGTACAAGTGCACACGAATTTAAAACGTTCAGTCGCAAGTATAGAGTGAACTGTAAGACCCCTTTAATATTAAGACACAATAGTCGCGCGATTAGTTGCGCAACCTTAAAGATTCCCCAAAGCTAACACTTTTAAAAATTCTTAGTAGTAGCACGGAGTCTGGAATTGTGTCCGGTATTTGGCAATAGGCTCACCCCTATTACATGGGGCTCATAACATAAATAGTGAAAAGTGGATGTTACATTGTACAGTGGCATTAAACTGTCAAACACCGCGAGGACACCGGTGACCGCAACCTATTGTTCTTTAATTGTATCTATAATGACGGTACTCAAAAGGCTAAGGGTCGTAATGTGCGCATCTGCCTACTCCTTTGAGTATAAAAGGCGTGATGTTATATGTCAAAAGGCACCTAAAATTTTAGGCAGAAAAAGTATTATGTATTAGAATTCTTCATCATCAACAGCTTATGAGAGTCCATCTTATCTACTTATGTGTCTCCTCTACAAAAGAATTGCTTGACCAACCACGAGGCTTGGCAAACGGGTCGAAGATCGCCAAAAGGATAAGGTATCTTTTTTTTAAACGTTGCCCTCACACTAGAATTTTCTCCTGTGTCGTGGGTGGGTTTACAAACATACAAGTTCACATACACATGACACCCAGACTCGGAACAACAATTTGTGGATCACACAAAGGGTTGCTCCGTGCAGGAATCCCGCTACCCGTTGTATGCCAGTTGGCCAGTGACTGTATTAACCGTGCAGTCAATGAACGTTGTTGTCCATTTTTTGTTGAATATGTAGGTCCTTACTCGGGTATACGACACCCGCAGGAAGTGCTGGTGACAAATGTATTCTAAGGCTTGTAATATGAGCTAGATTACCTTACCTCATAATAACCACCTCGATGGTCACCTTCAGCTCCTAGAAGGGACAAAGGCTCTTCTAAGTAGACCAGTTTGGGAGTCTCTACTAAAAAACACTAGATTTTGATCTGGTCGCCGGCAATTAGTTGCGCAACTAAGTTGACACACCTGTACACATTTTGTTGGTTGCGTGACCTGGTTGTATGACTATAGTTCTTAAGCCCGTTTCCACCAACTGCTCCTAAATTTTAAGAAACTCCTAAGCTAAAGTAGGTGGCACATTTAATGACATTTTTGTTACCTATAAGTGACACCTAACCGTACAAGAAAGTTCAAGATACTTCTTCACGCTAAGTAACACTTAGTTAGGTGGCAGTTTAGGGGGTGATTGGTGAAAACGACTATTAATGATCTTATAGTTCACTCGTAATTGTGGAATGATCGTTAAGAGATTATTATAAGAGTAGGTTAAGATTAACTTAGTTAAGTGTCAGTTTTAGGTATAAGCAAAATGATCTTTATATTGTATTTTGTATAATAAATATAGTACTTATTTTTATTATGTTGTTTTACTATCTAGCCCGCGTTTCTATGGGATAAAAAGCCTATATGTCATTCCAGACCATGATCTATCTCTGTTCCAAATGTCATCACGATCCCTTCAGCCGTTTTGACGTGAGAGTAACATACACAAGAAATACAATTAGATAAGGATCTAAGACCATTCGTTGATTGGCCGCTGGACTATGAACCTCCTCTACGTAAGAGAGTTTGCAATCTCCACGCATACATGACCACCTAACCTGATTAGTAGGTACTGATATTTCCGAAATTAAGAAAATACACGCGTTATTTTCTAAAAGTAATTTACACACTTGAAATAAAGTCATAGGATAGTTGGAGGGGCGCGCCATGGCAGCATTTTGGACACTGCTGGACGGGAGACACTTGGCTACGCGGCGTCACCGAAGCAACATCTCTCCAATAGGGTAGTTTCGTTAATTTTATTTTAATATCCGTCTAGTACATTAATTTAAAACTATAGACACGTATTTTTTCTTTTCTCACAAAATTAAATACTTTCGACGATATATTAATTTGAAATATCGTGTGTCGTCACAGCGTGCCACGCCCACATTTTGTTTATTTATTTATTTATTTATTTATTTATTTATTTATTTATTTATCAGAAAACAGCTAATTTAATCCTCACAGGTACTTAACCTAATACGACAAAATTAGTTACATAATATAAAATTTCAAAATTCAAAATTACATTATACATACGAAAGTTACATTATACATAAGAAATCTAAACATAATATCACAAAAAAGAAAATACCACTACTAAAGTTTTAAATACTAACAATACCATAGGTGGCTCTTGTGAACTCATTCAGCGAACAAGTAAACAAATCGACCCTACTCGACACTGCGTTGAGCGTGCGCAAGGCGCGCGTCAGTGGCGCTCGCTGCAGCAGGTTGGTGCGCGCGCTCGGCACCGCCAGCAGCTGCGGCCGCCGCCGCCTACCCACATACCCATCCGGCACACACATGCGTAGCTCCATAAGGATTCTAGAGTTAACTAATTTACCTCGCAACACTTTAAATAAATAAACAGCCAGTGCCACTTCCCGCCTAGTCTCCAGTTTGAAGTATCCCACCATACCCAACACAAATAATGTTGGGTATAATAGAGGATAGCCGGGGTATACCTTATATATTTTTGAATACAAAAATCGGGTGAATTTATTTTGTATCCTCTCAACCATGAATTTGTATTTGGCTTCACTTGGTCCCCATATTACTGCACAGTACTCGAGGTGAGATCTAACCAAGGCGTCATACAAAGCCCTGAGAGCCCCCACATTATTAAAGTCATTAGCTTGTCTCAAGATGAATCCCAAATTTCTAAATGCTTTCTTACTAACCTTAATAATATGACCTCTGAATCCTAAATCGGCCGCAAAATAGACACCAAGGTCTCTTACTTCCATCACTCTCTCCAAAGTTTCACCCTCTAACTTATAACAGTGGTGGTGTGGACTGCGCGCACGAGTGAAAGACACCACTGAACATTTGGAGACATTGAAATAAAGTCTGTTATCATGGCTCCATTTAACAACTCGGTCCAAATCTTCTTGGAGCATATTATGGTCAGTAGTGTCTCTCATCACACGGAATAATTTTAGGTCATCGGCAAAAAGCAAACAAGATGATTCCTGGACTACTGCTGGTAAATCATCAATCATTAATATGAAAAGAAAGGGACCCAAGTT